ATGTGACAAAACCCAAAATACATCATACAACACAGGAGAACCCAATAAACCAATGTAAATATTGCTTGAAGAAAGGACTTTATTTTTTTAATCAATTTCACATGCGCTCCTCATGTGTAAACAACCCTAATAATGTTGAAGTAAACGTCCAAAATATGACAAACAATAGCAATTAATAATATCCGGATATAAAGTGGAAAATAAATACCTAAATGGATATAAAGTGGAAAATAAATACTTAAATGGACGTCCAAAACAAAATAAAAATGAGAATGTAAGCAAAGAGATATTATTGAATGTTGATACCGGGTCAACATTGAATATAATGCATCGGCTGATAAGTTCCCAGTCTAATGAAGTAAACACAAGTTTTTTAGTAAAATTCAAATTTATTCATCAACATAGTCTCCTTTAAGAGATATACAATCACTCCATTGCCTCTCTAACATCTCTATACCAGGGCTCGAAAAACCGCACGTCCTCGGCGGTCAAAAATTCCCCGCAGACAGCGAATTTCTCGAATCTGACGTCCGCACAGACGGCCATTTTCTCGTTAATGTTCTTGATACATTTTCAATTTTTGTTATTAGAATTGCTGTTTTCTCTGTCTGGGAGAACTGCTGAGGTTGAAAGGGGCTATTCAGCAGTGAACTTCCAAAAAAAAAAAAAACGCATTAAGTACTGGTCTTAAACAAGAAGCGCTATACGCAATTATGAACATCTATCTAAATGGAAAGCCCCTTTCAGATATCTGTGCAGAAACCTCTGTAAACCATTGGCTTGATTGTGGAACTGGCAAGCGTCATATTTGATTCATTTAAAAAGCGCAGTACCCTCGGATAAATTGACATTCCAGATAACTTGACCTTTGTCATTTAATTAATTTCATTAAATGAATAAATTATTTCATAAAAGAAATACTAGGTTACTATTAGCAACCTAGTATTTCTTTTATTACTGTACAATGTAATCCTAGTAACAACTAATTTATTGTGCAATTTATATAAATGTTTGTAATAAATAAGAGAAAATTATATTTTTATTTATTTAGAAGCTATGGGTTAGTTTCAAAGGAGGACGGGTGCATTGTTGGACAAACCGTCCTCGGCGACGGGTAAAATTTCTGAGTTCTCTCGAGCCCTGCTCTATACCTTTCTTTAAAAAAGAACCATCTTTGGCCTCAAAATAAGCGTTTGTTTCGGCAATCACTTCCTCATTCATGCTGAATCTCTTACCCTCGAGCATTTTTTTCAAGTCTGCAAACAAGCAGAAGTCACTAGGAGCCAAATCTGGTGAATAGGGTGGGTGCGGAAGCAACTCGAAATGTCAAACAGCTCTCGGAATCATCAATTCGTTGTTGTTTTTGGCCAACTATTAGCACACGCGGCACCCACTTCGAAAACAGCTTTCTCATAAACAAATGTTCATGCAAAATAAAACCTATACGCTCTTTTGATATATTTAGAGTATCAGCTATGTCATGCAACTTCACTTTGCGGTTTTCTATAACAATTTTGTGGACTTCAATATGTTTTCCGGATTAACCACATCTTTAGGGCATCCAGAGCGTGGCGCTTCTTCAACATTTGTACGACCACGTTTAAAATCAGCAAACCAGTCAATAATGGTCGATTTTCCTGGTGAAGAACCCGGATAACACTTATCAAGCCAAGCTTACGTTTCTACTGTGTTTTTTCCCATTAAATAACAATGTTTAATTAGAACGCAAAATTATCCATTGTTTCAATAATGTAAATTGATGTTCTATTAAAATCACTGTAACTTTAAAATCAATCGACAGATCGTTATAAAATTTTGACACCTTTTATTTGAAGGTTAGGAATTGCTAAACAACATACTAATTCTGCATTTAGGGCGCCATCTGTATGTCAGACCGGAAACTTATCAGCCGATGTGTTAATACCAAAAGATTTTGTGTCAAAACTAAATATTCCTATTAAAATGTGAAGAATTAAATGTTACTCAATTGAAAGGACAATTAACACTTAACAAAATTTGTGAGTTTCCCTTTAATATAGGCGAAATTGTTAAGTCAGTTAAGTTTTTTATAATTGATACTGATTTACCATATGCTTTATTAGGGTTGCAAACTTGCAAAGATTTTTGTTTGTTTATTGATTGTGTCGGGCCAGTTGTTACTCAATGTGGTAAGAGACTGATCACCTTTGCTAGTTTTAATAGTGACAACTTATCTTTGCACATTAGACAGCAAAATTCTCAAAATGTTAAGGTTAAAAATGATGAAAAAATAAAAGTTAAAGATGCTTCAGTAAAAGTAAACATTGGAAAAAATAATGTAAAGGGTAGCAAAAATAAAAAGAAAAGGACAAATAGGAAAAAGAAAGAATGTCCAAAAATTTCAAATGATTCGAAGATATATCTAGGTCGACGAAAAAATAAAAAATGAGAACAAAATAGAAAATGTGGACTTAAAAGAAATTTTAAAAAGTTATGATGATATTTTTGCAAAACATAACATGATGTGGGAGAAATCAGAATGGAACCCCAGAGAGTCAGGTTAACTTCAGATTTACCTATATCTCGAAGGCCGTACAAAACATCCCCAAAACAACAACAGGAAACTGATTTACAAATAGAAGAATTGTTAAAAAATAACATTATAAAAGATAGTTCATCCCCTTATCCTGCCGGCTTGTAATAACAGGGCTACATCCCTGTTATCATTGGTTTTGTTTAGCTCAAATAATTCAGTCGTGAGCCAAAATACATCTTCAATAGTTTTATTTAAAGGTAGGCTGTTGGTGGTAATAGCTCACACCCATTTCTCCACACTGGAGGGGGTGGACAGCATTCTCGAACAATTTTAACATATTTTATCAGGATCACATCATGTTGAAAGAGACACCCAAAAACTATTGCTCCTGCATTATATACTAACAGAAAATGAGGTAAAAAGGCTCAGTCATTGCATACCTTCTATTTGTACGCATCACCGAAAATCATTTAATGCTTCCTAATATGGAAGTGAAAGAGGGAAAGATTTTAAAAATAATTTCTCCTTTGAAATATAAATCTAATTATAATTCATTGGTATGTTTTCAGCCATGAAGTCCCAAATAGAATATCTCTACACCTATTCTTTACCAACGACATTTTATGAAAAGAATTACAGTGTAACGTCCCATATCCGGACGTCCCTTTTCCGGAAGGGTCAATTTCCCGGACACTTTTTAACAATCAAAATAAACAAACATTTCTTCATCTTCCCCACTCTCTTACTTTAGNAATCTCTGTTTACCTTGGGGGTCTATTATACGGAAAAATCGATTATCCGGACTTCGGAAAGTCCCGCCGATTCCGGATACGCGACTTTCCACTGTATTACATATATATGTATATATACATACATGACTAAAAGAACAGGATTTCTAAAATGGAACTATTTTTTCAACTTTTTAGATTTCAGTTTTTTGTCCCCCTCATATTTTCTAATTGAAATTCTAACTGAAACTAGTCATAATCAAGTTTTTTTATTCTTAAATAAGAGTAAAAATCAGGAACATTTTTTTCCCTATGATGCATGTGAAAGGAATCTGTTGAAAAATGAAGTACAAGTTTTGTTATATAATAATCCTGGAGAAAAAAAAATCTTTTGAAAATCTGAGTAGAAAAGAAACTAACATTTTTTCATTTTTCTTTAATTTTTTTTCATTATTCCCTAATAAGAATAGAAAAATCAGGAACATTTCTTTTCCCGCTAATGATCGTAAAAGGCATCTTGTGAATATCATTATGGAGAAAAAATTTATTTTGAACATTTCTGCAGAAAAGGAATTTTTTACATTATTTTTTACTTTTCGTCCTTCTCAATTAAGAATAAAAAAATCATGAACATTTCTTTCCCCTCCATTGTGCAAAAAAGGCATATTTTAAATATAATTTTAGAAAAAAAAAATTTTGAAAATTTCTGCAGAAATAAAAACCAAATTTTTTACTTCCTAAAGGAGAATTCTTTGTGAAAGAACTCTGTAACGTTCTGGACAATGTGTCTGTGTCACCGCGATTCTGCCACGGGGTACTGGGCTATTTTGTGAGCTCTTCAGCTACATCTAGTGATTTTCCCAATTTATAGTGCACTAACCGATTTTGTCAACTGTTGTAAATTGTTAAAAAATGTTAAAATAGATAAATAATTGAAAAAAGATTTTTTTTTCTTTTAAATGTTTCTATGAATTAACTATTTTTTGTAATGTCTTAATATTCTTATTTTATGCTATAAAGTTCGGAAAATTAATGATAATAATGGAAAAATAGAATTTAAAGGAAAACTGTCCAGCAGAATTCCTTCCTCTTAATTTCCAAAGGTTATAGCTTAAAAGTGGTGTTTAAGTATACTAAAATGACCAGCATAAGACTTCTTACCTTAGTAACTGTACTGTACTTACTTTAGTAACTGTATTTTGAAAAGTATATAAAGCATGAGAAAAGTTGTATAACATTATTGATTTAAATGAAATCGACACTTTAATGCAAAGAAAAAGTGTGACATAGGATCATTTATGTTAGCCTAAAGGTACCTTTATTTTTGATGTTCTATTAAGCTTTGTACAGAGAAAATAAAGATATCTTGTGATTAACTAGTTTTTTGTTACATAATAGTGTAAGAAATTGAACACAAACATACTTTAAGCAGTTTTTCTTATCATTATTTTTTGTGACTATTTTTAATAAAACAATGATGCTTTCTTTCGCTCTATCTTGTTACGTTAGAACTCATTCTTTCAAGTGTTTCATTATACCCTGACAGCAGTTTTATAACTCTAGCTGTCCCCATTTGAAAGGGTAACTTATCATAGAAGAGATGTTTAAGTAAAAACAAAGTTATTGTTATGTAAGCAAAAAATTTTAATTAGTTTTATAATTGAAATTAAAAAAATAACTTAATATTTAAATTATATTTTTACTTTCTTTGTTTTGAATTTGTACTGTTTCCTAAGCAAATCTTTGTTTTAAAACAGTCAGAAATATTGAAAGAAGCCTGGTCTGATTTAGACATGAATAGTGAAGTTTTAGAAATTTTAATGTCACCTTCTGAACCCTACTTTCAACTTACAACTAAAGGTAGCCTCGCTACAATACACGTAAGATTTTTGAAAGCTTCATTTCTTCCTAATACTTAAATAATATGCTTTTAAAACAAGATTTCTCCCTTTTTAATTAGATCAATATATCTAAAGATTCAGACATGATTGAATCATTTGAATGTACAGATGAAGTAAAAAATAGGTAAGACCCACTCTTGGCTGGTCACAAATATTTAAAGCATCATTTTATAAATTTGTTTTACAATAATTTTGACTGCCACTAAAACCTGATTACCTTGCTATGAAGTTTTAAGTGCTGAAAAAAAGTAAGCAAAATGTACTGGTCCTAATTGTTTGTGTACCGCTTTAAATATGGCAAATAACTGTATTAGCATCCATGACATATATTTTACTATTGATATTAATTAAATTAATTTTTTAAAAAATACGCTTCTTGATAACTTGAGTTAAAATATTTTTATGTTTATAAATTTAGTTAAGAATATATTGAACCTGCATACTGTTCCAATATCTATCATTATTTATTCATTCAAAATGAAGAAATCGTTTTGTGAATTCTGCTATGGATCTATTCAAATTACTTTGGCCTCATTAATGACTGAGAAAATGTGTTTGCTATTTATCCTATTTTTTTCCAAATATTCTGAGGATCAGTCATCTTTTCTGTAATAATATCACTAAAAACTTCAGACATTTCTGTTGTTTTGACTAAATTATCTTTATAACTGCACAGCTTCTTTTTTAATATAAAAATTTGGATATGATATCCTGGTGCTTGCCGTGTTTGTTATAATTCAAATACATTTGGCAACAACTGAGTAATTATATTATAAACTTTAAATATTGTGCAAATTTACAAAATACATTTAAAATTTATCTATAGATTTACAGACCAGACTTAAGACAACCATAAAGTAGGAATTATTTGAGATCAGAACTTTCATCTCTATTTTTTCTATCAAAAATAGTATTTACTAACAATTGTATGCAGTTATTAATCTTGTATTATAGTTGGTTTAAAAAATTAAGTGTTTTTTTAAAGTATTGTATTAAAATAAATTATATTATATTAGTATATTAAAAGAAAAATATTGTATATTAGAATCAAACATTGCGTTAATTGCAAATTTATTTTATAAATTTTAATAACAAATTTAATTTTTAAAAAAAATTCTGAGAATTTTGGAAAATTTTCTTCTCTGTTTTAGAGCTTGAAATTTTTTTAAACTTCTTTCTTTTGATTTATTAGCTTTTCGTTTTCTCATGAATTTAAAGCATTTCTAGCATGTGTGAATGGAGAAAAAAAAAGAACTTTAGTCACTTAAAACATATAAAATCAACTACAGTGAAACCTCTTGGGAGCGATCACTCTCTCTTCCAAAGTAAAATTATCGTTAATGGAGGTGGGTCGTTCTTAGATGTTACCTCCATTGATTTCAAAATATTATCGAAGTGAAATGATTTTTCGCAAGTAAATGTAATTTTACTCATTGTCATTTTATTGATGCAGAAATGCCACTTGCGTTGGAAAACAGGATCGACGAATAAAATTTAGTGCCAGTAAAAATGACCTCTACTGATATAATTATGTGTAAAAACAAATGTATCAATTATGAATGATAGAACTATTTTAAATATATAAACAATAATGTTTTTTTGTACAAGTTAGCATTTATTTTCATATCCTAAAAATTAGTTTACTTTAAAAAATGAGAAGTTTGTTTGTTTGAGATGCTTAGTTTTTTTCTGAAATAACTTTTTTTTTCTGATTTAACTTTCAACTCTAAAACTAAATCATTGAGAACATCGTCTTATGTGCACTCTGACTGTAATATAAGATTGTGAATCTCTTACAGAGATTGTCAAAAGGAGCTCTCTGAATAAGAGCCACTCACAAATATCTTAAATACATTTGAATCTACTTATTTGTTTTTTTTAATATTTTTTATTTTGATATTTTTTCGTGTTTCCTTATTCGACCTTTTCAGCATTTCGTGCGGAGGTCTACCATTTGCCTGGAAAAGGTTTTGATGGTCTTCGTCAACACAAAGTCGTTGGAAAAAACTCCCAAAAATGGTCGTAAAAAGAGGTGATCTTTCCTGAAAGTTTCACTGTATTCTGAAAAAGGGAGTTGACTCCTCCCAAAAAACAGTAATATGTGACAGCAGTTTGAGTTTGTTGTTTTTATTCTAAGTGAAATAACCTCTGTCGATTAAGTTATTTCCCCCAAAATAATATAACTTTTTAATTAAAAATATTCTAATTGTTTGTAGCTAACATATTTCAAATACGTTGTTAACTAAACACATTACGTATGTTTCTGCTATTTATTTAAATAGATGAAAAAAATCATTATATCTTAATAAAAATCTTTTTGAAAAATGACTCTTCATTTCAGGTATCAAATATTTTTAATAAAACCATCACTAAGAGCTCTCGTTCAGTCATCAAAAGTATCTATACGTATCGATGACCGGGGATTCTTGTGTATGCAATACATGATTAAAGTTGAAGGTTTACAATGTTGTTTTGTTGAATATCTTGTAAGTATAAAATAATAATAATTAGTTATGATGAAGGGCATGATTTATAAGCTGTAAAAAAAATCGCTTTTTTAATTAAAATTGTGAAATAAAGAGGTGGTTTTCGAAATTTGCTTGTTATATTATTGCAAATTTAGAAAAAAAATTACAAACTTTGTTTTACAATTGTTTCAGTTTTCTTACAATTTATAGGCATATTGTTATTTACTCAATTAATATGAAACCAACTGACAAGATTATCAAAATGTTCTATGCCAATATTTGTTAAGCAATTATCTATGTGCATAGAATGAGGAACCTGCATGCTTTTTTTTTTTTATGTTTTAAAATGAAACATCATGCCATTTTATGAAGATAGACACCAATTTCAGACCGGTGCGATAACTAGTTATGTTGTTATTAATAGTTAAAATCGCTCAATTAGCCCCACACCCTAAATCGCTGCTAGGTTTCCCATCCGCTCTGATGATGTCGCAGTATGGTACAACCACGACTCTCATCATGTTGTGAAGCGGTGAAAGCATATGCCGCCCGAGTATAAATTCTGAAAAATGGCTCCAAGCAAAACGTACAAGTGTTGCATTGTACCATGTGCAATACATTACCATGTTCTACCTTAAACACGGCAAATAAATTTTTTTTAATGTACCAAAAGGAGAAAAAAGACAAATTTGGTGCAAAGCCGTCAAACGCGATGAAAAAAATACTCGCAAATTGTCTGCAACTACTGCATTATACTGTTGCTAAGACCATTTTACAGTAACTTACTTAATTATAATTTAATTCTATAAGATTGTTTCTCTGATTGATAAGCTTCTCTGAATGAATAATTCATTATACTGAATTTTAAAATGTTTTTGAAATGCTGTTCAGATCACTTTCTTTCTTTCTTTCTTTTTTTTTTCNAAAGCATATGCCGCCCGAGTATAAATTCTGAAAAATGGCTCCAAGCAAAACGTACAAGTGTTGCATTGTACCATGTGTAATAGTTCTACCTTAAACATGGCAAATAAATTTTTTTTTTAATGTACCAAAAGGAGAAAAAAGACAAATTTGGTGCAAAGCCGGCAAACGCAATGAAAAAAATGCTCGCAAATTGTCTGCAACTACTGCATTATACTGTTGCTAAGACCATTTTACAGTAACTTACTTAATTTAATTCTATAAGATTCTTTTCCTGATTGATAAGCTTCTCTGAATGAATAATTACTGAATTAAAATGTTTATGAAATGTTGTTCAGATCACTTTCTTTCTTTTTTTTTCTTTTTTTTTTTAAATGAAAGGATTTTATTCTTAGAGAACAGTGGTGTACAGGTGCTTTTTTTTAAAGTTAAAAAAAAAATGTTATCTAGAAGAAAAAATTATCAAAATTAAAATGAAAAATGATAAGGGTCTAGCATTATTTACATATTTTCAACAAAAAAATTTAAAGAAAAGAATTTAGAAGTTAATAATAAAAAAGAATTTTTTTTTTTAATTTTATTTGCCTAAAAACTTATAATTCCAGGTCATATACCATTCATTCCATTCCCTCTAATTGGGATCAACTCATTAAATAAAAAACTTTCAAAACAGTTCAGACTTTTATGAATAGACAAATATAAATAAAAATTTATCGGTATAAATGAAGAAAAATGAATTTATTTCAAAAGTTATTGATAAAAATGTAGTTTCGAAATTTATTTTTTCATTCCTCAATTTTATTTCATTGTGCTGAAAGATGCCCACAAAAATTTTCTCAAAGGGGAGGATGCAACTGATATGCACTACATATATATTTAAACTATATATATAATATAAACATGAAAGAAAAACAATTATTTAAAAATGCAGTTCAATTTGAAACGCCTTTGTAACACACTTCTAGATAAGAAGCTTGGTTTAACTCCTCCTGTTTGCTGAGTTACTATACTTTGACGTCATAAGCAAACCCCGCCTCATTTTGTGTCACGTGAAGTTAGTTTCGTTTTGGGCTAATTTTAAGTTAAGTTTTTTTTTAATATTCGGATCAGTTTTTAATTCTGAATTGATTTTAGAGAGTTTTAAGATATAGACTATTTAAAATAATCAACATTCTGTGATTACCCAATGCACGCAGGTTCCCCATTGTAGAGATATATTTAGAAAAGGAACACAGAACAGGGTACTAAACTGATGTAGAAAACGATATAGTACAATCTGTTAGATAATGTTTCCTTTCTCATCCCTGTCATTCTTCCAATTCAGTGAATGTCTTACAAAAATTGCATTTTGCCCATTTAAAGAGAAACTCTGTATCAAAAAGTTGGTAAATATATTTTTCTTTTTTTTTTATGAAATGGGCCTACCGTGTTAATCTTATAAATGTGTTTTTGTATTAACATTAACTAATGATGTTAACAATAGATGAATATTTTTAAGCAATAAAAAGGAGCTAATACAATTTTATAAACTCCCTTTAAAGATTAAAATATGAGGACAAAATGTTATAACACCGATGTTAAAATTTTTTACTTAACTTTTTTCCTTGATTCCATAAAATAATATATTGAATGAAATTCTTAAATTTTTGATTCTACACAATTGGAGGCTTTTTAATATACAGGCAAATTTTAACTGAATATCTATGCTTTCACTCACTTCCCATTTTACTGCTCCACTAATAATTATTTTGAGTATGTAAACTGTAATGATTTAATAATGACAAGTATCCATATTTATTGCAACTGTTTTTGCTACTAATTGTGTATTAAAACTATGGTTTGTAAGAAGTAACCAAATAAGATTCTTATATATTTATTCTTTTCTAGTGCTCTCCAAATATAGACGATGACTAACAACTGTGAATTCAATGTATGGACTTGTGTTTATTCATTATGTTTTATTAAAATTTCTATTTATTATACAAATATGTCACAAACAATTACTTGCTTTTATGAAATCACAATGCTATATTATCATTTTCTTATGAATTTGGGCTCTGCTTAATGACTGGCTTGAATAATAATTCAAATCGACAACATAAAAAAGGAATAAAGTAACTGTAATTAACCTTAACACTTTCGCTACCGGAACGCCCGAAATGCCTCGTGAACTAGACTACCGAAAACGCCCGAAGTGCCAGTGAAACTAGTTAGAGGTTCTTCCCCCTTTTCGAAAAATTACACACTATAAGGAAGGTGTAGCAGTAATGGTCCTTGAAGGTAATTTGCAAAAAGGGGAGAAAGTAGAGGGATTTTTCAACAAAAGTTTGTTTCATATCATTCTGCTCTTGTAAAGTTGTTTTATGTCTTGTCTTTTTTATATAAACGGAAATTTATTTTCGTCGCAAAGGTCTTTCGACCGAAGAAATAATAAAATAGTTTTCAATGATGACAGATGAGTCTGATTTTAATGAATCAGGGGATGAAGATGAATTCGATGATGTATCACCAACTGAAACTACTATTGTCCCTAACGAACTCTTTCTGACAATACTTTTCAAGAAAAAGTTAAATGAAATATTTTATTGTAAAAATAAAACAAAGTTCTCATAATCTTATAATTTATAGTTGAGAAATTTAGTATTTTTTAACTTTGCTGAAAGACAGAGAGAGATGTAGAAACAAATATAAACTCAAAATTAATTAACCTAAATTATTAAGCTGGCTACTTCTTTTTGTCTGAACTTTTTTGATTACTTACGTTGAAAAGAATAAACTGGAGTATTGGAGATAAAGTATTTTTTTTAATCATTAAATAATTTAGTTATTGTGCCTTTAAAAATATATCAATTGTTCAAGATAATAAACAGCTCGAAATTTGCAGTGTTTACAGAAAAAAGAAATGGCAGTAATTTAAAAATATATTATTCTGCAAGATTACTAAATACAATTAATTATAAATCTATTTTTAAATATAAAATAAATAATTAAACATTATTTTATTAGAATTAGATCGTAGGCTTTGATGCCTTACAAAATAGTTTTTATATTTATAACAGTAGGATCCAAGAGAAAAAACTGCTTTGATGGGTACCAAAACTATTATTTGAAATTTGAACTTTATTCTGCATTTGTAGTTCGACAGCTGTAAATCATTCACATTGTCTTGCTGTTTTATGAATGCCTCGCTATTTTCACCTTTTCAATGCTTGTTATTACGTAGGTATTGCACTTGAAGCTGCAACGACCCATTTTTTTTATTAATTGTTAACACCTGATCTAAAAACACGAATTTTACTAGTGGAGAATGTGTTGGTGTCAAAACTCTTAAAATAGTTAAATCTCTATGAATTTATTCATTTTCAATTTTACACCTTATCTTCATACAAAAGGGTTTCTTCACAGGAGGATTATCTGTAGTTAACTCTAATTTCTCA